TGCGTTGTTGTAACGCATCTGCAGTACAAAATTCATATTCCTTTCTGTGTCCCAAGTCGAATTGGAGACTGATCCGAGCCGAATTCAGCAAAATTGACTTGGGACGCAGAAAGGAATATGAATTTTGTACTGCAGATGCGTTACAACAACGCAACGCATGAAAAATATCTGATATTTTTATGCGATATTTCTATCCCATATGAATAAAAATATCTCATAGTAATCTCTGTAAAAAAGCAAATGTTCATTCGATTCATCTTCAAAACAACCGACGTTACCTGCTTTGTTAGGACCACTTTCAATTAGAACAGTGAGTTAAAAATTGGGAGTTGAAACTCATCATTCAAAACACATAATCATATCATTTCGAATATTTGTTTTTGAGACATATTTAAATGCTAAGTTATTTTAAAATTCTCAAGTCATTTAAAAAAACGTAGCTGGAAGATCAGTATCGATTCCGTCAACCACGGTCTTCATGAGTTTTTTGAAATCTCGATACGACAATATGAAGCAAAAGTTAATCGATAAATTGAGTTAAAATCGAAATCTCTGCGTAACGACGGATGTGTGGTCCAGCAGGGCACAATCATACTTGGGAATGACGGTACATTTCTTGAACGAAAAATACGAGCGGGAATCTTATGTCTTACAAGTAATTGTTCAGAATGATGAGAAGAATTTTTTGGGGCAGCCGCCCTTCCATTTTCCACCCCCTGGGGGGTTGGGGAGGTTTTCTGCCCAGGGGTTACACTTTTTTGACCTGAAACCCAAAAATTTGAATTCTCCATACCCAAATTAGTGGAATTATGTATTTTCTCAACGACCCTCCGCACCCAGTCTTCCAGAAATTGAACTGGCAGAAATCGCCCCACATCTGGGGTCAATTATTACAGAGTCAATTTTCTACCTCTTGGAGTGGAAATTTTGCATAAAAATGTATGACCAACTATAGCTAATTTTTTTCGGGCTATCTATTTTACCCATGGGTCACCCCCAGCGAGCCCTTCTTTTGGGAGTCCCCATACAATAATTTTGAAAAAAACTTTGCGTCGGTGAAACGGCATTTATCGTTGTTGACAATAAGTGAATTTCCGGATATTCGTACTTTTTTTGTTCCCAGAATTCGAGTACGTTTTTCTTTGGATGTTGTCGACCTATTTTATCATCGAAATCTAGCAAGATGTCGTAAATTGCAACATTTGAAGTAGTATAATCTGGTTCGCGATTGTCACTTTTCTCTGGCCGCATTAATTGAACTCCCTTAGCGCTGAAATACGTTTCGAGGATAAAAGCGCGGTCTACAAATCGAAATGAGCTATTAACATCTTCAGCATTTTCAGTGTCACTATTGCCACCGCTATTGTGCTCTGATCTAATTTCTCCCCACATTTTGACTAATGTTCTGATTGCAAGCACCTTTTCATCTGTGTTCAGTTCGGAGCTGTATCGACGATCCAAAAAAACAGCACATATCATCAGTGGATTTTTTTCAGAATTGGCAGTCGTTTGTCGAGCTCAGTTACAAGGTGACTAGCAAGATCCGAAAGGTGGTGAGCCGTATTCAAACCAGAGGGGCGAAACCGAACTGTCAAACTACAACGGGGACCGCGTAGTCGGTTGTCATTCGTTGCGGAACGTGCTAGAAGTATGCTTAAGTACATGAGTACATATTTCAAATATTTCGTTAAAAAAATATTTCATTCAATTGTTTAAAAAAATACATAGTGTATTAATATAAGAACTCATTTATTTAAACATTATTCATATTTTAGAAACGTTTGAAAAAAATAATAAACTTTTTCTTCGTTGCTCAAGAATTCTTTGCTAACGTTTTTGATTGACAAAGTGAGGTTAAGTATCTATTGACAGTATATCGGCTCAGTACATATCATTCAATTCCAAACAGTTTTGATCTCAATTCCAAAGTGTAAAATAATTTTTTTTTCTGATTATCGCTAGTGAAAGCAATAAAAAATGCAATCAAGAGTTGCTTCGTTAATAGAAGCACCAGTGTTCAAGCCCTCAATTGGTGAATTTTCCAATTTCAAGAGTTATATTAAAAAACTAGAAGTGATCGAACTGAAAATCAGCTTTGCTAAGGTGTCTGTTTTTGTATAACATGTGTTTTTTTTAATGTGTCTAGTCCTCCGAAAAGCGTAGATTTAATGTTTTCTTTTTCAATTTGTTGGAAATTTCTCGATCATAGATCATTCCGCCGCCAGAATGGAGCGCCAAATCCAAAACAATCGACGATGAATATGTCATTAAGACGGTATTGGAGCAAAAATGCAAAAAACTTCTAAAAGGTGGATACGAACTGTCAAACGAACCAATGGAAAACATGACCTTCAAGGATTACAAAATAAAAGCCGTAGAAGAAGGGCATCATCTCAAAACGAAATCCATACTGGAAATAGAGGACACATTCTGGAATACAATTTGCAAAACGCGCAAAACCTATTCCTTCGAAAATGAATTTAGCCTGTTTGGAGATGATGTTGTGACGTGGAATCTGGGCCGATTCACAAATGCTCAGTCAAATATTCATGCTGCACCAAGCCAAGCTGAGGTGAGTATTCTTTATTGTGTCATTCAACATCCAAATACATCCACTCAATATAAGGATCTATTGGTCAAATAAAATTAACTTTCACTGTAAATTCAAATGTGAAAACGGCTCCTTAAACACACATTGAGCTTGTGAAATTTTTTTCAGAGAAATCGCAATCTGTATGAAATGCCGGGCATTCAGAAGCCATATATTTACTTCGGAACACCATTATCAATGTTCGCATTTCATATCGAGGATGGAAACCTCAACTCGATAAATTTTCTACACGACGGCGAGCCAAAAGTTTGGTAAGCATTCGTTTTGATTCCCTTCCATTATTCATTTTTATATCATAAACAATTTACTCTAGGTATTTCGTCCCATTTGAGGAAAACGAAAAATTGGAGGCCCTTTCGAAAAAGATTGCCCAGAACATTGATTGTCCGCTGTACATAATGCACAAAGTATTGTTGATCCCGCCTAGCGTGTTGGCTAAGCATGTCATCAAATTCGCTCGGGTATGGATAAAAAAAATTAAGAGTCAAATTAGAATTTTTCTTATTTATTATCATTCATATTTTATTTAGATCTTCCAATACCCAGGGGAATTCGTGATTTCATTTACCGGAGGCTACCACGCTGGCTTCAACACTGGCCCGAATATTTCAGAGGCAATAAACTTTGGTTCGCAGCGTTGGGTCGAAAATTTCCATTCATACCAGCCATGCGGATGCAAGTATAAGTATAAGTAAGCTTATTTGATTTATTACATTATCATCATTTTCATACATAAATTATATATTTTAGGTCAAGCAGTCCTATCCCAACCACCACACTGTCCAAAATTATTCAGAAAATTAACACAGAAGTTAGTCATTCAAAAATTGTTATACAACATCCAACTTTTTATATGTATTTATTATATTTTCTTTAATACTTTCAAAGTTCATCTGCCAAATATGCGAGAGAAATTATGCGACGCAAAGATCGCTGGAGCAACACGATAAATTGCAGCACGCAAGGACAATAAAATTGTATCCATGTTATTTTGAAAACTGTGACACAATTTGCACAACGCCATATAATCTCGTCGTGCATTTCAAAGACAAACATGAAGTAAATATAAGCAAGGAGGAAGCCAAAGCACAACAGTTCGATCAGAAGAATCCAAAAAAAAAACAACAAAAAAAGGCGGAAAAGAAAGCCGTCAAAGAGACACGAAAACCATGCGTCTGCGGAATATGCGGAAGAATTTGTTTTAAGTTCTCAAACTTAAAAAGACATATGATGAATACTCACAAAGGTACTTGTGTTTAAATTTACCTTCAGGAACCGGTTAGTATTATCACAAAATTTTAACGAATTTTTGATTCATTTTCTTCCAGTGGAACTCCCAAATCCTCCAAAGAATAGCACCCAAAGAAGCCACACGGTCACCCAAGCTGCCTCTGTCGAACTGGACCAACCCGTTCCTGAAATGGAAGTGGTCG